TTGTTGCTTCATAATCTGTTGGGCCCTTAGAAGGTGTTCTTTTAATTTGCTAACACTTTATCTCTTTCCTCCAAGTACTCCTCTATAGAAGAGACGGGAGTGCTGCTACTTCCACTGGACACCAAGCAGGGAGGATCCCTTCCGTATAATACCTTGAAAGGTGTCATCTGAGAAGTAGAGTGATAAGACATATTTTACTAATATTCTTCCCATGATATCCACTTAGCCCATAGCTTAGATTTTTTTTATACGAAACATCTCAAATAAGTCTTCAAGCTTCTGTTAACTACTTCGGTCTGGCCATCTGTCTGTGGGTGGTAGGCAGTGCTTCGTTTGAGAAGTGCTCCCTGTAGCCTGAACAGTTCTCTCCAGAAATGGTTGAGGAATACTTTGTCTCGATATGATACTATGGCCTCTGGTATCTCATGTAATCTAACTATCTCCCTGATGAAAGTGGCTGCCACTATAGTAGCGATGTAGGGGTGCCGAAGAGGAATGAAGTGTGTGTATTTGCTGCCTCCCAATCCATTATTAGTGGTATTGAGACTGCTATCCCTTGTAATTCCCCTATACATCTTGATAGAGCGTCTTCGGCTTTATTTTAAAAACCGGGCTTGTATTGGATCTTAAAGTAGTAGCCAAAGAGTTTGGATAACCACCTTTGATGTTCCTCGATCACCATTCTTTGTTCGAGTAAATATTTTAAACTCTTTTGATCTGTTCTCATGATGAAGTGCCTTCCTAAGAGATAAGGTCGTCATTTCTGGATGGCCAGGACAATTGCCATTAACTCTCTTTCATATACTGACTTTAACCGTGCTTTGGTTGATAGGGTTTGGCTAAAATATGCTATAGGCCTGTAGCGTTGCATGAGGACCGCTCCCAAACCATAACTGGATGCATCGGTCTCAACTACAAAAATCTAGCTGAAATCAAGAAGAGCTAATACTGGTACCGTCGTCATCGCTTCCTTTTCCCCACAAGAAGTTGTCCTTCTTTAGTTGCTCGGTTAGGGGCCTTGCTATGGTACTATATCCCCTGACAAACCTCCGGTAGTAGCCTGTGAGTCCTAGAAACCACGTGTACTAGGTACTCTACCTTTGGTTGCGAGAAGCTGCATTTCTTGAGGTTTGCCTTGAGCTGATGTTCCTGTAATATTTCAAAGACTACTTTTAAGTGCTCGGAATGCTCCTCTGTGTTTTGGCTGTACACCAGTATGTCGTCAAAGAAAATTAGGACAATTTTTTGGAGATGTGGCTTGAATATTCGATTCATTAACGACCGGAAGGTTGTAGGGGCATTCGTAAGCCCAAATGGCATTACAAGAATTTGTAATGCCCTTCGTGTGTTCAAAAAGTTGTCTTCTTAATATCTTCCTCCATTCGGATTTGATGGTAGCCTGATTTTAAATCCATTTTGGAAAACACCTTGGCTCCATGTAGCTCATATAGTAATTCATCGATCACTGGGATGGGGAACTTATCTGATATTGTCTCTTTGTTTAGTGCCCGATAATCTACACAGAACCTCCAGCTCCCATCTTTTTTCTTGACTAACAGAACATGACTAGAAAAAGGACTTACACTAGGCCTTATGATGCCTGCTTCCAACATCTCCTTGATGAGCTTCTTAATTTCATCTTTCTGAACGTGGGGGTACAGGTAGGGCCGGACACTGACTGGTGATACTCCTTCCTTCAGAACAATTGCATGCTCTTGATCTCTGGTGGGTGGGAGGCCTTAAGGTGGTTGAAAATTTTCTTTGAATTGTTGTATAAGGGGTTGTATCGCGAGAGGGATTTCTCCTTCTTCCCCCACAATGATCCCTTCCAAACGTTGCAGCTCTACCCAATATCATCCCCCTGCCTCCTGCATGCTTCTTAGCATGGATTTGAGAGACACTCCAGATCGTGATAGCCCGGCTTCGCCCTGGATTACCATCCTTTATCCCTCCACCACTACTTCCATCCGTAGAGCTCCCCAATTGACTTTCGTTTTCGTAGCCACTTCATCCCTAATATGACATTGGTGCTTCCCAATTCCAAGGGAAGGAAATCCTCCTTTACATGTGTTCCTTGTATAGTTAGAACTATACCCTTACAAACTCCTCTTCCCAATTCCACCTTTCCCGTTCCAAATATTACCTCGTAGCCGCCTATGTCTACTAACCTCATTCCCAGCATGTCGACAATCTAGGTGGATATGAAATTGTGGGTGGCCCCACTATCTATCAATACTACCACCTCTTTTTCTGCTCTTTCTCCTTTGACCTTCATAATGTGATTTGGTGTAAAACCCACTACTGAGTTTAGGGGTACTTCTGCAACATCTAAATGCATTTCTTCTTCTTCCTCTGTTTCTAGCCCGCTTCAACCTCCCCTTTCAGTTTCCTCGTCATCACAGACGGTGAGAACCTGAAGAGTTCGATCCTTGCACCTATGCCCTAGCATGTACTTCTCGACGCACCTGAAATACAACCCCTTTGCTCTTTTCTCTTGGATTTCTTTTTCCGTCAACCTTTTGAAATTTCCCCCACTTCCCCCTCCACTAGCTTTTTCCTTGGGTGCTTTCTTCAGACTCCATGGTGCTGGTCCTTTGGGTGGTAAGACGGTTGTTGTCATTTTATAAGATCCTCCCGAGTTATTTCCTCTCGCTACTCTCTCCATCTTCTTTTGATCTTCTACTCGTTGTGCTAATTCCATGGCTTTTCCCAGGGTTATTGGTTCCAAGACTCTTACTGCTGCCCGAATCTCCGGTTTTAGTCCTTTCATCCAGTTTCGTACTGTTTCTGAGAGGCGGTCCAATCTGCTCGCTAAGTACTTGAATCTATCTCGGTAGTCTGCCATAGTTCCCTCTTGTGTTAGCGCAAAGAATTGCTCGTAGAAGTCTCCTTCCCTATCGGTTTGGAAACATTCGAGTAAGTTGTATTTAAATTCCCTCCAAGTCCGGATGGGTTCCCTTCTGTCTCTCCATTGGTATCATGCTAACGTCTTTCCTTCCAAACATAGTCCAACCGTTGTTAACTTTTCTTCCTCGGTTAGCCCATTGACAGTGAAGTAGCATTTGACCTTATAAATCCAGCCGTGGCCGTCCACTCCCTCGAAGACGGGCATCTTTAGTTTCCTTACCTTGGGATCGCCTTGGCATCCACCATAACTGCCAAAGCTATGAGTAGGACGAGCTCCCCAGTTGTTATTTCTTCCCTTTAGCGGTCATACCTGCCTTCTGTATCGGATTCCCTTCTTCCTCTTTCAAAGTCCGCATCGTGGTAATAGTATTCTTCTTTCCTTCCCTGAAATTCAGCCCTTCTGTTGAATCTGGTGCTCATCTCCTCTCTAAAAAGTGGTTCTAGAGGATGCATGTCTTCTTTTTCCTCCACGATCTCGGAAAACCAGTTAGGGTTTCCCCTTCTTCCATGATCGCCGTTAGTCCTCCGTGCTTTCGATGACGCCGGGGTGGTCTTGACTTCGAGTAATTTCTTTAACATCTCCTCGATGATTGCGAACTTCCCTTTCATCTTTTCGTTGTTGGTAGAAATCTAATTTTGAAAATAAGAAAATCTTCCTTCCAAGTCATTATTGAGTTGTCCAATTTCTCCTTCCAAAACTTCTACCTTCTTTCCGGCCATCTTCCTTGCAAGAGTTGCCGTCCTGCATATGAGAACTCACCGCTGAAAATTTCAGCCACCGTTGGTCCCAAGACGATGCTCTGATACCAATTTGATAGGAAATACTTGAGTTCGCAAGTAATCCTATCGGATCTACTTGAGTTCACAAGCAACCCTAATTTAAATTAGATAAAAAAACAGCGATAATAATCAAGCTCGAATAAGAAAAGCAAAGTCAACTTTATTGAGAACTCAAAGCAAAGAACAAAAACAAAGATACAAGTGATCCTCTATTCGAGAGGAGGATCGCTCTCTCCAAATCTCTAGAGGCTAGGTCTAGAACCCAAAACTTGAAGAGACGCCAAGAGAACTCCAATCTAAGCATGCCCCTCCCTTACCCCCCTCATCTCTATTTAAAGCCTCTCCACCGCCCCCCTCTCCCTTTCCTAATAAAAATAATGATTTAAATATTCCCTACCTTCCATATTTGCATTTAATTTAGAATTAAATTCCCACTGGTCCCCAATTTGGCAAGCAAGAGGCGGTGGATCCCCTTAGGCGGTAAGGAGAGGCGGTTTGCACCGCCTCTAGTACGCCCGACCCCCTTGGGTCGGGTCGGTTTGGGCCCAGGTCGAAGGAACCAACCTATCAGTTTCAAATCGAAAGCATGAGTGGTTAAAATGGGAATATCCAAAACTGAATATGTGTGTGTGTGTGGCGTAGTGAGCCCGCAAATTGATAGCATAGGGATAATGTATGAGGTTTCATAGAGTTGCACGAGCAATGGAGCAAGTCTTCAAAGGGTGAAGACTGCTATAAGCTTCGTGCAGCTCAAACGGGATGTGTTCGAGGAACTGATACAATTTAATAAAGAGAAGGAAATTGGACTAGAGATGAGAAGGGGGTAGAGATAAATGAGAAATAAATGTGTGTGTGTGAGTGAGAGAGAGAGAGAGAGAAGGGTGTGATCAACTAGCACTTATAAAAGAAAATCTCAAAATTTTATTCCATAATCAATAAAATATTTACCCATAGGCCACATCCACATTCAACCTATAACTCTAAACTTGATATTAAATTACCTGACAAAAATAAGAGACTTGGGGGAAAACAAAATATATATTTACTACCCAATGCCAAGATAAGAGGAAAGTAAAAGTTAATAGAGTGGAAAAAATCACACAAAAAATTTAATTCACATCAGCCAAAAACCTATAGTACGAATTTTTTTTTTAAGAATTATAAGAGCATGGAGCAAGCTTTGAAAAATCAACGGATTTAAGATAAATTATGTAAAGGTATTAATGCGAGATTCACTAAAATTACATTAAAAGCAAGATAATAAACAATTTTTATTAAAAATGGTTTTTGTGAGCAAATCAGTGGCATCATACTCATGAACTTCTTGCATGCTTTTTCCCTTTAGTCGAGGCACGAACTCCTTCCAATCAAATTTCCCAAAACCAAACCTGCAATGTAATTGAAGCATAGCAAAAGAAAATTAAAAAGTAATTGTTAAAAAAAAGGGAGATTAAATTTTCAGGTGAAACAAGTAAAGCTAAAGTTGAAGATGTTACGGGATTTTCTAAGCATGAAACTCTTGGATAACCCACTTTAGATCAATGAATACATAAATATAACATTGACTTATTTGGAGGACAACGTATGCTGATTAAACACAACAGAGCAGTATGAGATGTAAAAATTTTAAATATTTCAAAATGTTATTGGCAAAGTGCAAGACAACCATTTTGAATAATGCTACTCCAATGTTGTCCGTCCTTCTATGTAACGTGCTGTAGTATTGGTATTTCATTTAGGAAATGTGTGAGAAAAATGAAACATTAAAGGCCCTGATAGGATCGATGAATAGAGAATGATGCTTAACAGAATTATCACATGAAACTCAATAAGAACAATTTGTAAATTTTAAATTTCAGGGAAGAAAATAATATATATATATATATATATTATTTTCTTCCCTGAAATCTAAAATTTACATATATATATATATATATATATGAAACCGACCTCATAAGCAATTGCAAAAATGCAGCCCTTTGGTTTTGATTAAAACCACGAACTCTGAAAGACCTTCCTTCACCTTCCATTAGGGCATGTGGTTCAGCTAAATCAACTGCAAATGTAGCTTTCAATTTGTAAACAATGCTTCTTAAATGATACCTTTGGTACAATAAATAATATAAGCATGTAGGAAATAAATTACCTCGACATCTTTTTCTTGAGAGTTGCCCCCTCCTTCCTGATGTTTGTCCAGGTAGACCAACGTCCGTGTCTGACAATTCTTCCTCAAAGGAATAGTCATCATCGTCAGAGCCTGTTTCAGCTGGTTCATCCTCTTCAGTAGCAGGCATCTGCTTAACATACAAGGAAGAACAAATATGAAATAAGAGTAGGTTCAAATATCTTACGATAAATGATAGTTCTTGACAAAAAACATTTAGATACAATTAAACCACGAATTTTGGCCATGATTAATTCCATTTTATTACGACAGGAAAAAGAGAAGATAAAATGCATTAGTTTTAACTACATCAAACTAAAAAAGGGCTTGCTAGAACCCTCATCAAAACTAAAGAGGGAACCACCCACTGATGCCAAAGATAGGACCGTTAGGCCTGCCATGTCTAAGCCATTCACGGTATGGCAGGCTATGATCAAAGATTGAAGTGGCATTAGTCATAAGATGAGAGGAAGAGAGTTAAGGGGGCATAACAGAGGTTGGGCCCACCTGTCATGGGCATGCAAAAATCTCATAATTGTCTGGAGCGCTCAATGGAAGACGTGAAGTTGTAAGACAAGCACCAACATTTATTTTTCTTCCCATCATAATTTGTAAGGGAGAAGATGGTACGATTGTACTTTTAAAATATATTAAAACCTACTTTGGGTTTCTATGCAAATATGAAATTTTTGGGTTAAATGTTTTACAAAAACCTTGAATGCCGTTAATTTTGCATTCAGATACTTAGATTTGTTGAAGTAAATGAAATGGATTTAAGATGGAAAGTAAATATTGTTTAGATATTTAGGCATCGTTTGGGACGGCTTTCTTACTGCTTTGTAAAGCGGCTTTCTAGTACAAAAAAATTAATATTTGTACTAGAAAGCCACTTTAAGAAGCAAGAAAAAAGCCGTCCCAAACGAAGCCTTAATCTGAATATCATTGGCTCATTGCCATAACTATTGGCATAATAGAGTTGTAAGCACTAATATTCTTGTAATTCGTAATTGAATTTCACATTTAATTATGAATATTGGGCAACAATATGTACGGTTTCATTCATATAACTGCTGAGTTATTGATAAGGAGTGTGGATGAGGGTACTTCTATGGTGGATTACAACATGTTTATACATCACCATGTTACGCTTGGTTCTGCCCAAAAAACAAGTGCAGAATTTTCTGGCCGCACGCCTCTCTCATCCTGTTCAGTCGCACGCACGCGAGAGGGGTTCACAAGAGATTCATCTATCTTGATTGTATTCAAATACCACGGGGTTCTCACTCGACTCCTCTTGACAAGACGCACGAGATGTTCGCCTCTCTCAATCTAATGCAAAGACCGCAAGATGTAGAACTCTCCCTCGGCTCGGTTGAACGTACGTAAGAATGAACAAGCCGGAAAACCGCTCCCTCTACTTTCTAAAGGGAAGGTCAGGTCTTCCCTTCAGAAAGTTCGATAGTAAAAAAAACTCAGAATCCAGATAAGGAAATGAAGGCTCTGATAGCATGTTAAATTTAGAGAATTGTAGAGGAAAAGGCTTAATTTTGTTATACAAAACTATCCCTATTTATAGATCTATACTTGACATCTAAATAAAGAAATAAATAATTATAGAATCATGCATAATTGCCCAACTATAATCCTTCCTAAATCAGCCACCCAAATATGAAAAGAGATCGGCGTGATCTAGGTGAACCTCCCACAAATTCCTATGATGACTATGAGAACAAATGTCAAGAGACGACTGGGATTTAACAAAGATCGGTGTGATCAAGGTGAGCCTCCAACGGATTCTCATCTTGGCCATGGGATCAAATGTCAAGGGATGGTTGCGGATTTTAATAATTTTATTAAGGGAAATATTTATAATTAGATGGAAGTAATTAATATCAATATCTTAAAGAGAATTATTATGATTATAAGCATTCAAATAAGGAGGTGGAGTCTAAGGACTAAAAAATAAAAGCAAATATTTCAAGGTTGAGGTGGGTAGTTATATTTCTATTTTATGATAATTCTTATCGCAAGTTGATGCAATGACTCATATATCCTTTTAAATATTTTTAATAATACAACTTGGCATTGAATGATTAAAAGAATGTTTTCTATTTCTTGTATAAATGTCTTCAGTTGTTATAAATGTTAGATAAAATGCATTTTTATTTCATCCAATTTAGAAAAGGAAATGAAAAGAATGCACACTAAATGATATAAATTTAAACGATGCTCATATAACTGTGTATTTTATTAAAAAAAAAAATATTATGATATGATAAGTTTCTTTACAAATACCAAGTTATTATATGATAAATATTCTCTTTTCTTCTTGAATAAATTATAAATGTGCATGTTATAAATTCCTATTAAAATAAATTATTAAGCTTTACTCATGAAAACTTCCATGCAAATTATATTTATTCTTAAAATTTCTATAATATATAATTGTAATTAGCCAGTGAGGTGTTGTATAACTCAATCCATCAGTTGATATTTACTTTCAGGAAATGCTCCTTTAAATTAAACGGGCAACAAAAGAATAGAAGACAATAAATATAGGTATGAAAAGTATGTATTTCATTTCAATTATTTTGTTTGAGATGTATGAGACCGAACTAATTCATGTATGATTTTCGTATGGACAAAATTGTGTTATTTAGTGGCTCTTCATTTTAAAAGATATTATTTCTAGACTTTTTATAATATTAATACAAAAAGAATTAAACTACTATTCGGCTGTCTATTTTCATCTTGGTATTCCAAACTCTCAGGCTAGATTGGGACAGTTGAGAAGTGGATTAGAATGGTAGAGAAGACATTCGGGATTTAAGAGTTGCCAAAAAAAGAAGGTAACATCATAAATTTTATGCTGAAGTACTATGTTGTTTTGAGATGGACATCTACGTACTAAGCTTTTAGTGGAGCTTTATCAGATATTACTTGAATTATAGTTTAGAAATGGATTTATATGAATAGTAACTACCACTAAAGGTTAGCTTGAATAGCATAAGAGATCACACACCTCAGGCAAGGTAACATGTTTGAACAGCAGCTGGCAAGTGATGAGCTTTGTACGTTCAGAAGGTCGGCAATAAGATTCTTCATAATGGGTGAATTAACGCTAAGGCAACATGGAGAAAATTTCACATCGATTTATAAAATAGTTCTACTGAAGTTCTTAAGCCACATGCATGCATGCATAGGAAATTTAACTTGGCAGACTACTAATATAAAGCTGTATGTGGTTATTCATTTATTAATCGTTAAGCCTCCTCATGTATGCATTTCATTTACAAGTCCTCCAAATACATGAGAAGGATGATACAATTATGGCCCGTTCATGAAGGTGGTTGCATGATGTATTTTAGTTACCAATATGTAGCCATAGAAATGAAAGCATAGATGCATATTCAATCGGTATAAATTGTGAGCCCCATTAATATTAGAAGACACCAGCCTAAAATGTCTAAATTAACTGTAAAAAAGAGAGATGTTTTAAAATTTTGGTGGGTGGAACTGCCATTCCATCACTAGTTGGTAGTTAAACTCTTTGATATTCCAGGCTTCCTCCTGTATTTCTTTTCATGCCATGTTTAGAGTTCACTTCATAAGTAATGGAAGGAGGAGGTAGAATAAATATTCACTATCAAACTATGTTGTCCATTTTGCTATAAATGCAAATATCACATCGTTGCATTCTTCTAATGATCATCAGCATGTTGTTGAACTTTTTCTTGGTGAATTATCTTCTACAAGGTTATAGATTTTTAAAACAAATTAATTAAAAATTTTGTCCCAGACAAACTACCTAGAGTGCTATGGTAAGACAAATTCTCTAAGGAGATTTGAAACTAATCAACCTGAGACAAGACTTAACTTGGCCTGGGTGAGCTTGAACATTAATTCAATTAATTAAATGGATTTAAGTTGGTGTGATAATAGAAAAGTTTACAGTAAAACTTTTTTTATTTTCATTTAGGGATTTTAAATTACATCTTTGATATCATGCTTGCATCAAGATTATTTAGTGTTCCAATGTTTATACTTTATATGACTTGGGTGATTTACATATTATATATTGGCTGTTATTATATCTGTTGCAAAGTAGTTAACTTGAGTTATAAACCATGACAACATAAGGATGGAATTTCATAAGCTGATGCATGTCTACAGTAACTCCTTTGTGCCACACTTGCACCCGTTGACTAAATTTGTAATCTCGTTTTGCCACCCCACGATGGAGAAACTGATGAGGACATCCACCGTACATTTCGACATCAGCAGGATCGTAGATCGACGGCTACGATTCATAGTATTTATTTATGTGTTTTAATGCATTTCTTTTATTTAATTTTCAATTTTCCATTTATACCCCTATGAGGGATTTGTGTCATGTTGTAGCCTGAGGGCATTTGTGTCTTTTACATTTTGTGCTTTGGAGGCCTATATATGAAGGCTTAGTCTTTGTATTATTTTCTAATGTTGATGAATGAAATTTTCTTATTGTTGATCTCTTTGTGAGTTCGTGAAAATTCTCAAGATCTCTTTGCGAGTTCTTGAGGAGGTGGTACTTGAGGATCTCTTTGCGAGTTCTTGCGGAGGTGGTACTTGAGGTTTGAAGCTCTCTAAATTTTCCCTCTCCCCTACACCTATCTTCTTCTTCCCCTACCTAACCGAAGCATCACCCCCCTCTCAATCCCCCACCAGCCCCAATAAATCCACCGCCGGCCTCTCTTGGGCGATCCAGCAACCGGCGGCCCTCCCAGCTCCCACGGCCGGCTGCCAGCCCGCCACTTCCAACCCGCCGCCCATTGGCCTCCCACCTTGCCGCCGGCTCTCCCTTGACCCAACCCTTTTGAATTTCAAATTCCTCTAAAATTAAATTACTTTCCTAATTAGCCTTTCTCTATTTAGGAAAGTCATTTAAGGGAATTTAACTCAATTTTGAAATTCAAACCTTTTTCCCTCTCATTATAAACCAATTTGGGAAAGTTAATTTAAATTTAATCAAATCTGAAATTCAAATCATATTTGAATTTATTTAATATCCCTTGGGCCCCACTTAATTAAATCCCAAGCCCCTCTCTCCTCCCTATATGACCGGTCACCCCACCCTCTCTCTCTCTCCCATTAATACACCAGTAATCCCCTTTCCCTCCTAGCCTAATTTCAAATTTAAAATTCTGAATTTGAAATTAATCCTCTCATTATTTGGAAACTTGAAATTAATTCCCTCCCTCTACCTAGCCCACCCGCCCCTAGTCACCCTCACCCGGGCCCCAACCCGTCCACCCTCACGGCCCACTTCCTCCCTATCCCTCTAGCTCACGGCCAAGCCCATCCCCTCCCAAACCGCCACTTCCACCTCTCCTCTCCCTCTTCTCTACATTGGTGCTCCTTCATCTCCCGACAAGAATGCATGGCGGATCCGGAAGTTGATCACGGATTCGTTTACGATTCTCAAGAGGAAGTCGACATCATTCAATCACCGTTCTTCGATCCCGGATTTGGGTCCGAAGGCACCGTCGAAGAATACGTGGAGCGAATTCTCTTTACTTTGGCGGGCGTCATCGAAGAGCAACAACCTGCAGGATCGTGGAAGATCGCAGAACGACCACCTGTCTCTCCAACTCCGGCCAACTCTCCGTTGATCAAAACCTCTGGCATCCTCTGTCTTGCAGTGGCATCACTGGGCTTGCTTACTTTTGTCCTCCGCTAAACCTACTTCCAAAGAACGATCGAGAGGGAAACTCTAAGGTGAAAGTTCTAATTGTTAAGTAGTGGATTATTGTTAATTGCATATTTGTTTACTATTTTCTTGTCATTATTTCGGATCGATCTGTTAATCTAACGTGTAACCGCATGCTAGAAGCAAGTCAATAACTACGAAAACTGAACATCTTAACTTAGTGAATCATTAATGTTATAATTTCATTGCGGAAACAAATTTCTTAGTAAGATCCTGCAATTCCGTTGGTTGTTTCACATCAGAAACATTTTAATATTACTGCAATGAACAATTATATTTTGCATCCTAATCCAACAAACAATAACTTAGATACCAAGATCACCAATTTTCATGTACCAAGGCACAGGAACTCTTTAAATCGAAGACAGCAGAGGTGCAGACATGGCTGGGTGACGTGCTTAATGGATAATTGGATTAAAAATAAACTAAAATCAAGCTAAAATGTGAAAAAAACCCATTAATCAATGAAAATTTAAAGCATGATAAAAAACATCATGCCCTTCATGAAGTTGACTAGAAGACAAAACCTGTTTCCGATTTCGCTTTCCCTTGCCCATAGTAGTAGACTCTTCAATCTGGATCACTTCATATCTGTCCCTAAGTAGTTCTTCCCAGTAATTGGCCCTATCAGGATTGGAGGTAAAACCGTTTTCAGCCATAGACTGCCTTTTAGCTTCCTCCTCCCTTGCCGCAGCAGCTTCAACTTCATCTATGTATTTGAAGTTTGCCACCTAAAAATGGCCGCAATTTGATATTATTATTATTAACAAACAGTTCATGCAGATCAGTAATATGTCATAACAATGCAAAAAGAAAAACGAACTTCAAGGTGAGAAACTAAGAAGCATATAAATAAAGCTAGATTAAAGACCATAAAATAATACTGAATAAGTTACATAAATGCTCAACTTTGGAAGGGATCAGATGTGGTGCGTTCATGCATGCATACAACTGCAGAAAATATAACTAAGGCAACAACTAGAACACATAAATTCATGAGCAATCCTATAGTTGTTAGTTGTACGGTAACATGCAATTATTTCTTGAAAAGTTGGCATTAGAATTCTAAATAACAAAACTAAAACGTATTTGGCACAAAACAGAATTGATTTTCTTTTTTCTGCGAGAAGAATTTTAGTATCGGTTGCAAAATTTAACATATTCGCCCATTATTATCTACCCTTTTGAAACGTAAAAAATCTAAGTGCTTATGCATGATAGAATATTTATGTTGCAGTATTAATAACTACGGAAAAAAAAAGTTAAATCATTATCCCAGGATTTTTATTTCCCTTATGCAGGAGCATTTTATTTTATGAGAAAAAGAAAAAATAAAGAGATATGAGTAGTAAGGATTTAGTTCAAGTGAAGTGTATTAAGGATGAAGATCAAAAAGTGCTTTTTTTAGAAGATATTCAACAAAGGTGGATGAGATATTTTGCTAAACTTTTCAATAAAGATTGTGAGAATACGATTGACTTTAGTGACCTTAGCACCCTAAATGAAAATAAAGATATTTGTTTTTATTGGCGTATTAGTAAAACCGAAGTTAGAGATTGGCATATTAGTAAAACCGAAGTAAGAGAGGCTTTAAAGAAAATGAAGTGTGAAAAAGCTGTTGGACCTAATGATATTCCAACAGAGGTGTGGAAATGCTTAGGAGATGAAGGAATTTCTTAGCTTACTAAATATTTTAATGCTATTTTGAAGGCTAAAAAGATGTCAGATGAGTGGAGAATGAGTGTGTTGATTCTTATTTTTAAGAAACACTGTGATGCACAAGATTGTACGAATTATATATGAATTAATTTAATCTGTCATACTTTAAAACTAGGATAGCTCAAAATAACCAAATATTCACTTCTTTCTATTCTAAAATACAGACTATCTTAGGACACACTAACTAGATTTATGTTCAGACAGACAGGTGTAACTATCTATCCCTAATTCGGATAGCTAAACGATCGTTGAAAGGCTTAAGAGAAAGTCTTCCAAACCAGCCTTAACTAGCTTCCCCCACTTCCTTAGGACCCATAAAGCGAGGAATTCCCTGTTGAAAGCCCTAGGGAAAGCAGGATAGATTATATCATTGTCTTTGTATGGGGCCTCATAAAATGTATTGGATCTTGCTACTTCATTATGGATATATGGGAGCGAGTTATGGAGCATAGGTTGCGGTGTGATACTAATGTTTCTCAAAATCAATTTGGATTCATGTTGGGTAGGTCTACTATGGAAGCGAAATATTTATTGAGAGGTTTGATGGAGAAATATAGAGAGAATAAGGAGGATCTACATATGATATTTATTAATTTAGAGAAAGCATATGATAAAGTTCCAAGAGAATGCTATGGAGAGTTCTTGAAAAGAAAGGACTTAATAATGCTTATATTCAAATCATTAAAGATATGTATGCATGAGCTATTACTTGTGTTCAAACAAAAGGTGGTTTGACCAAGTATTTTCCTATTTCGGTTGGATTACATCAAGGATCAGCCTTAAGCCCATATCTTTTTTCTTTGGTCATGGATGTTCTCACTAGATATTTGCAAGATGATGTATCTTTGTGCATGCTTTTTGCTGATGATATTCTTCTTGTTGATAAGACTAGAGAGGGAGTTGAAGGTAAACTAGAATTATAGAGGCCAACCTTAGAGTCTAAAGGTTTTAGCTTGAGTAGATCTAAAACTAAATATATGGAGTACAATTTTAGTAGTAATAGATCTAGTGGAGGGATTGTGACTTTGGGCGATCAAGTCATTAATAAGAGTACACGTTTTAGATATCTTGGATCTATTGTTTAGAGTGATGGTGAAATAGATGGGGATATTATCAGTAGAATTCAAGTTGGATGGTTGAAGTGGAGGAATGCGTTAGGCTTGTTGTGTGATAGAAATGTCCCCCTCAAACTTAAGGGAAAATTCTATAAGACGGTGGTGAGACCAAGTACATTCACATGACTTGAAAATTTTCCACCTAGCCTTTTCAAGCCAACCAACAATGAAGTTAAACTGAAATTAAAGGTTTCCAACGTCAAGGTAGCCAAGAAGAAAATAACTTCACAGCCCTAACTTCGAATCTGGAAGACTATAAAGTTTAACCTGAGGCAATCCGAGCTATAATCCTTAATAGCTGCATGAATAATGTTAAAATCAAACTATAACAGTTCTGCAAATAGGACAGATACGCGAATAAAGTTCAGGGATATGAAATAATATAGTGAAGTTAACACCTTGAAGGCTTTTAGCAAGTCATCATCTTCATCATCAACTGAAGCATCTTCCGCATCAATTTCATCGCGATTAAGTAGCCTATCAAAAGAGTAATGATAAATACTAAAAGGGAGGAATTATATTGCTCTAATCAAGAAAATAAAAGTTCATAGAGAATTAACCTGTCAATTGCACCATCATCATAATGAATTTGGCGAGTATTCCCTGGTCCATCACTCTCATCAGCAAAAAGATCCTTTGACCCATATCTTATGATGTCATCTAACTCTTCCTGCAAAAAATATTGCATTGAGTATAAGAATGTATGGTAACAAAACAACATGATAATGTAAAGTTTGAAGAAACTGTTACTGGAGATATTTAGAAAAAAAAGACTCGGGTCAAATCAATATACAATTATCATATATGGGACTCCCTACAACATGAATAATTTACACCTAGCACAATAACTTTTTAAGAGAATACAAGGCAACCTGTAATCAACAGAAAAGGAACAAAGGAATATTCCTATCTTCAAATGGATTCTACTTGGCATCTCAGGCCCTGTACTTAAAACGCCTTAAAGAATGCTTCAGGAGTGAAGCAAAGAGATACACCTTATAGTGTTTAGCTTGCTACAAATAAAAAAGATGCAAAGTGGAGCTTTGAAGTAATTCACAACACTCTACTATGATCTGCAAAGCGTACAGAGGCATTCTTCAAAACTGCTTGACCCACCACCTAAATCGCTTAATTTCTATCATATGTGATCTGAACTCCCTTTCACAAGGAAACTGAAGTTCCCATGGCCACAACTACTTCTGCCGTCCTTGCGATTCAATTAGTTTTGCACTCGTTTTTGTAATGTAATCATAAGTTTTGCATGTATCATGTTTTACCACTGACATTGCTTTTCCAATTTTTTTGTTAAATTGTTTCATAATGTAGTTTACATTTAGCAAGCACCGTGGGTATTAATGTATTATGCATTCATATTGTGTATGTGCATATCATATTATATATAAAGAGAATTGCATCGTTTTGTGCCCGTACAGTAAAGGAAAACAAATCCTTTCGTACTCTGAAAAACCTAATTCAAGGATACCATGATGATGAACATTCACAGGTTTATTTAAATGATATGCATTAACTCTTTCACTAGCTAACACATGAATATAAACCTGCAACAGAAATTCACTTCTCTTGACACTTCACTCATACTCATGATTATCAAGCACAATCTAAAATCACCATGGTTTAAAATTGCGCAATATGAGGCTCGCCTTTGCGCAATTCCAGTAAAAAACGCCTCAATGCTTACGCCTCAAGTTTTTTTATGAGGCTTGCGCCTCAACTTGGTTAAGGCCTTCCTCGCCTCACGCTATATATATTAAAACTTACATAAATCTTGAAGTAAATGCCCGACATTGGACTCGATAGGAGAGGAGGAAGGGGAGAGAGCAGTTCACCATAATGATGATTCAAATAAAGAACCCCTTAGTGAGGACAGTGCTGATGACTTATGAGTTCTTATGTGATATGTCATTGCGATTTATTTTTGGAAATTATAATTATATGTTAATGAAAAGAATACTGGGATTTGGGGTTAAAAAAATACTGGGATTTGGGAAAGATAGAATTTTGAATTGAACTATATTTCATGTTGTCTTATTATTGAGATATTTTGATTTCATTTCATATCTTATGATTTTTTATGTTTTATATTATTCACTCATTAGTATATAAAAAATTTATCATTTTATGTTTACGCAATCTTTTGATTTTGAGGCTTACGCCTCAAAACGCCTTGAGGCTTACGCCTCGCCTCACGAATGAAAAACGCCTCAATACCCGAATACGCAATTTTAAACATTGAAAATCACTACTCAACCATTGATGGAACAAGATTTTAAACAGAAAATTTCTTCCTTGCCCTTTAAACCCAGAACATCATATGAGTTTTGTTGTGCAAAAAGACGCGTTTGGCGTTCACCTAAAACTTTAATTCACAGACAATCAAAAGAAAAAGGGAAAAAAAAAGAAACTACTAACACATAAAATTTTTTACATGACAACTTGAAAAATTAATAATCACGGGGAAAACCTGGAATGAAAATATTCTACTAGCTGTAATCTGGAATAAGGGATGCACTTCCTCAAAATTAGAGAAAGCATTAGTTTAATGTAAAAAGCCTAGAATATGGATAATATCCTTTATAGTGGAGGCAAGGGCAAACCAAAGCTATTAATGTGGATGGCAATGAAGGGCAATCAAGTGAAACTATGAAAGGAGGTGATTGAATAACCCAAATTCGATGAATAATTGAAGGCCATCATAACAACGTAACTCATCGGAGGAATGAGGATTGAATGAGCTAGAGATAATAAGAGTTTAAAGGTGGTCAAGACAACCCCTCCTAGAAGAAGGGGGAAGTAAACAAGCAAAAATCAATAATTAAAAGGGGCTGAATAGTCCCTCTCTTTATATGTAGGGGCTTATATGACCCAAAGACGATGTCAAAGGGGAGAAAAATAGGTTAACAAAATCACCAAAAGATGATGACATTGTGCGAAGAATAGTTCTTCTAAAAGAATGGGTCCTAAACAACTCGAAGAAGATGACGATGGAGGGACTACTCTTCATTGGAATGAGGGAAAATTATATCACTCAAATACACTGATGAACGAGGAAGAAATAACACCTCTACTAGGAGGTGAAGCTATGAGACACCAAGAAGGTGAGCGAGGACACATATGGCATATGCAGAAATACCAAAAATGGTCCATTTAAATTCAGGTGGTTGTCAGAGCTTTTAAAATTATCTATGATCCGCTAGTGCAAAATGTCTCAAATGAAGAGATTGATGTATATTTATAAATTCAAAGGGGGATATTATGATCCATATTTAAAATTATATCAAAATATTTCTATTTTTACGAACATCAGATGGACCAGATCGCACTCACATTCAAGCTAAAAGTCGCATAGCAGTCCAACCATTATGCCTGCCATATTAACTTGCTTGAGTCTTGCCAAGGTTGGGCGAAGTGTTTCCGCTATGGTTGTCGCTAATGAAATCTTTGATCAATGAACACCAGAAAAAACTGATTTATACTTCAAATGGGGGTTACAAATCTAAAATTCTCTAGAATATTAAAGTTCATAATAATTCAAATGAGGAGGATTAATGTTTATTTATAAAGTTTTACGAAGCATGACCATCCTAAATAAAAATTATACAAAAAATATTCCATATTCTTATCAATAGCTAAGAAACTAGATCTCACCTAGCCCCGATTGAAAAGTGATTGAATGATCATAGGTGACCGGATAAAGGCCAACAAGATAAAGGCCAACAATGAAGGTCCAATGGAAAAGTCATTGATGAACAAAATATATCAGATTGTAGGTCCCAAAAACATGAATCCAATGAAGCTAACTTATCAAAATTCAAATGAAAAGATCGAAAAAAACAAAAATTGTCATTATTGGGTTCATTCCCCCTTGCTTTGGCTCTTTGGTTTCCCCCCTCCTTGATTCTTCTTCCCATGGCCGGTTCCTCACCTATGTCTCTTCGATTTTTCCCCTGCTGGTTCTCCTTCCTGTGGCTGCTTTGCCCCTTCGGTTTCCCCCTTGGGCTGCTTTCTCGTGGTTTCTTTTTCCCTGTTTCCTGTGATGTCTTTTTGGGTGTTGTTCTGGAATAATTTCTGGACTGGTTTGGGCTATTTAACTCCCTCTTTCCTACATCAATTGGTGGCTGTTTGGTTCATGTTTCTGTCCAGATTCATGGCTTTGATTATTTGGTTTTTGGGAGCCTTAAATGATGCCATTTTTCCAAGAGTTTATACTGTTTTTGTTGGCTGTTTTAGGTGTCTTTTGATCTTCTTTTTGTCTATTATAGGGAGTTTTTGTGGCTGTTTAAGAGTTTTTGAGAGATGTTATGTGGCTGCTTTTTGGAAATAAAAACCCGAGGGTTTTTCTTCTTTGGAAATAGCTTGCGAGCTATGCCCCTCAACTCTTTTCCTCTCTATAGCTTGCAAACTATATTTTGTCTCGGCTTCTTGCCTTCTTCTTGATGTAGAACGGGAGGGGGGTAATAAAAAAAAATTAAAGAGCTAAAATTCCATCTCATATTTTCCTTAATTAATGGATTTGAATTTGAAATTCAAATATGAAAAAGAGGGAGGGAAGAGAGGAATTAATTATCTCCTTACAACAGTGAGCCCGGACACATCCTGCAGCTGACGGGTACTATATTGCCCTTCTCCAAGGGACTTCAAGCCATGAGCCCGGACCCATCCTACGGCTGGTGAAAACTAAGAATTCCTCTCGTAGGAATCTCACCCAAAGTTCTTCCCAAAGAACACAAGTGCACCCTAAACCCTAAACCCTAAAAACCCTAAACCCTAAACCCTAAACCCTAAACCCTAAACCCTAAACCCTAACACAAAATTTTATTAATCATCTAACATTACATTACAATAGCAAGGGCTTCTATATATAAGCCTAAGAAACTAAAACAAGACACATATGCCCCTAGGGCTTATATAGGACGACTCTCTTAAGTAAGGGTAAAAAAGGAAAATTCATAATAAATATAAAACTTACAAATAACAAAATAAGATAAGGTGGAATGATCTAGGCCGGCAATCGTCGTCTCCTCCTTTGAAAATCTTCATGATCGGATGTCCGCATCATTCTCCCGGAGTGGAAAAGAGCTCGACTCCGTCGAGTCCGCACCCCGAGTAACCATGCTCTAATACCAAACTGATGTAGAACGGGAAGGGGTAATTAAAAAAAAAGTAAAGACCTAAAATTTCATCTCATATTTTCCTTAATTAATGGATTTGAATTTGAAATTCAAATACGAAAAAGAGGGAGGGAACAAAGGAATTAATTATCTTTAATTGGGGTCTTTAATTAGGAAGGAAATAATTAGGATAGAGGGGAAGGAGAGGGGCCGGCCTAATGAGGAGGGAAATGAAAGGTGTCCACATACAATGTATGTGGATCCATGCATTAATGGGAGATTGGAGAGTTAAATCTGAAATAATTTAAGATTTAATAAGATTGAAGGATTTCCTAAAATAAATGTATGTTATTTAGGAAAGAATTTAAAATTCAAATTCATTTGAATTTGAATTCGAAAACTTTTCAAATAAGATAGGAGCTAATTTAGGAAAGTAATGATGGTGAAATGAAATTGAAATTAAGGGATTAATTAATCAATCAATTTCGGAATTGATTAATTAATTGAATGAAAGAGGTTACCCAAAATAAGGTAACTAATG